AAGGACTTACTAGTAAGACTATGCATCTCTTCATGTCCTCCTTTCCTTCAAAGCCATATTTATAGGTCTAACCTTGTGTATGAGAAAGTCCACTTCACTATATTTTTCAACATACAAGTAAATATATTTTTACCTGGAACACAATATCAATATCCAAAAAGTACAAGTGCGTTTAAAGGGACGACAAGGAAGAATATTTGTAAGCATGAAATTCTGAAAAGAAAAGAAAATCTTCAAACCATGGCTGCTATCCATGTTCGTGCAATCATGGTAAATGTGATGAAAGAGTATAAAATCCCATGAAATGATATTTGAGAAGTAACTTTGCCACAGCTGAAATGTTGAGTTGAAAAAAGAGGGGATGATGCAAGGTAAAGCAATTGGGTCAAAAAAAGAGAAATGTGATTGAAAGAGGTTATGTTTGTTTTTGAGGTTGTCCACAGTTTCCCAGAGCTTATGTTGATATATTTTAGATGTTTTGATTCATTTGATAATAAACTGAATAATAAATGTAAATATTTCTTCTTTAAAAGCAATAAGGGAAAAATAATAGAGTAAGTCAAATAAAGAATTAACTTTCTCTCTGTTTATTCATAGATTGGGGGGGGGGGGGGAATCTGGTGTGTTTTTTTACTTCCTCCCCATCCCCATATGATTTCATGATTAGAATTTACAGGCATAAAATAAGCTAACAATTTTTCTTAAGCATGGGGGAGGGGGAGGAGAGAGAGAATTAGTTCTTTAAAGATGAAGGCAGGTAGCTGGGACTGGTTTGGCTCAATGGATAGAGTGTCGGCTTGGGGACTGAAGGGTCCCGGGTTCAATTCCGGTCAAGGGCATGTACCTTGGTTGTGGGCACATCTCCAGTCGGGGGTGTGCAAGAGGCAGCTGATTGATGACTCTCTCTCATCAATGTTTCTGGCTCTCTGTCTCTCTCCCTTCCTCTCTGTACAAAATCAATAAAATATATTTTAAAAAAAAAAAAAAAAAGATGAAGGCAGGTAATTAAGTGGCTTTCATCAGGTCCCTAATGTGACAATTTCTAAAAGTAAGTTAAATACTTATTTACTGAATGATTTCACTATGGCCCTGAAAAAAACACACAAAAAAAACACATGTGCAGTGCCCACACAGTGCTTCTTCAGCAGGCGGTGTCTGTCCTTGGTATCAGGGTTGAGAAACAGACCAAGAAAATGAGTTGAAGATTCTTAGTCCATAGTCCACTGGAACCTAGCTGCACAACTTTCCTAAAGTTGTCCTGTCATGTGGATATGTTTTCTAAAATGATACCAGAAATGCTGAATCATTCCTCTCTTAGGGGATCTTTTTAAACTTGACTACATTTAAAATTTCAACTATATTTTTTAAGTTTAAAAGAAATCCTTAAATTTAAATTCAATGGTGTGTGTGTGTGTGTGTATATATATATATATATATATATATATATATATATATATATAAAATTGATTTTTTTTTTTTTACAGAGAGGAAGGGAGAGGAATAGAGAGTTAGAAACATCAATCATCTGCCTCCTGCTCACCCCGCACTGGGGATGTGCCCAAAACCAAGGTACATGCCCTTGATGGGAATCGAACCTGGGATCTTTCCTCATCCACAGGCCGATGCCCTATCCACTGAGTCAAACCAGTCAGGGCTCTATGGGATTTTTAAAAATACATGTATATTTTTGTTTTTCAAGTTATCTTAGAATCATGACTTCTTCAAGTACTATTTTGGCCTGGGGACAGATGGTGTTGATTTGCGCACATCCCAGACATAAAACCAGCCAGGACATAATTGGGCATGGGTGCCCCTCAGGTCACTGAAAAGCAAGCATTATCTGTGAACTCAAACCACGGTCAAGCATTCTAGTGGACACACTGCTTTGTCCAGCTGCCCAAGTATAATGAAAAGGAGGCCGTGGTGAGGCCAGATGCCACCCTTTTTTCAGATCCTTAGTCCTTTTCTTTGAAGTATGTTCTTTTGGGAACACAATTACAGCAGTCCTGTAGGCACAGGGTACAGGCCTTCGTGTTATCAGCCCAGGCCAAAAGGCAATCTGGACTGAGAAAAGACCTATCTAAAGGAAAAGTAATAACTTCATCCTCTAGTTTTAGTACGTCTCCAGGCTTACTTGCAATAGGGGCAGGGCAGAGCCAGGCCTGGGAAGGAAGGCAGCGGCATTGTGGGTGCTGACTCTCAGAAACAAAATGGCCAATAAAGACTGAGCCAAATTGCTGCAATGCAAATTACTAATGTCCAACTTGGACTTAGTGCAGTGTTTTTCTGTTGACATTCCCATCCCAGTTATTTAATAATGAGTCATATTTGTTGCAAGAGCCTAGACACAAGCCAGAGATGCCAGGCTGGTGTGGCTCAGTGGTTGAATGTCGCCCTATGAACCAGTAGGCCAAGCTTGGATTCCCAGTCAGAACTCAATCCCCAGTAGAGGGTGTGCAGGAGTTAACCGACCAGTGAGTCTCTCTCATCATTGATGTTTCTATCTCTCTCTCTCCTTCTCAAGTATCATTTGGTAAAAATCCTCCTGATAAATTCTATTACCCTCCTGCCACAAAGAACAAAATATGCCTCAAATTTCTTACAGAAAAAAAAAATTTCTTACAGAAAAAAAAAATAAATAAATGATTGGTGTTTGCATTATTCTCTGTTAAGAAACCAGGTTATGCCAAAACCAGTTTGGCTCAGTGGATACAGCGTCGGTCTGCGGACTGAAAGGTCCCAGGTTCGATTCCGGACAAGGGCATGTACATTAGTTGTGGGCACATCCCCAGTAGGGGTTGTGCAGGAGGCAGCTGGTCGATTTTTCTCTCATCATCAATGTTTCTAGCTCTCTATTCCTCTCCTTTCCTGTCTGTAAAAAATCAATAAAATATATATATATATTTTTTTTAAAGAAAGAAACCAGGTTACACTATTCCTACAAAACACTGTTTTGTCATTTTCCCCACTATTGCTGAAGAAAGCTATACAGGTAGTTCTTTTTAACATTAGTCCCTTTCCGTACTTCCTAATTTTCTTGGTCTTTCTCTGACACTAATCAATATTGACTAGTGAATGCTTGATAAAGGTATCCTCTCCCAGTATAAATGTATTCTTTCTTAAAATTCTTATTGCACACTCGCTGTGCTAGGCTTTGTGTTAAAGACTTTGGGAACAAAGTAAATTAAGTCAGATTCCTTGCCTAAGAGCTCATGATCTAGAAAAGGCAAAAAACAACTGAATTAAGGTTTACTCTGCATGGTCAGTACAATGATACAGGGGGAAAAAAGAAAAAAGAAAAAAAAAAACCTGAAAGGGTTATTTAAACCCAGCAGGAAGGTCAGATAACAGTTCTACTCCATTTCACTAGAATAAGTCTTCCTCCTTTATCAAGGACGGGCTGGCTTAACTCTGCCTGGTCTGCACTTCCTCATCTTGGCAAAGCCATGATGACGGCTGTAGACAACATCAAAACATCTCCGAGAATTACAATCATCATCCTGTTTCCTGACTTCACAAGGTTTAGTCTGACTGGACTTAAACACATCAGCCTAAGACCCAATCTAAACTGGGAAATACCAGTAAGTCCAGCTGTTGTTAGAACCAGACATGGACACAGTCAGAGAAACCTGCACGAGAAATTCACAGCCTGATTCACACACAAAATCCGATTTCCAGGTAGGATCTTTACCATAAGATTCTACCTGGAAATTTGGGGACATTTAGGCATCAGAATAAAAACTAGGGGTACCTAAAAGTATATATGCTTACCATATTATGTACTCAATTAGAAGGCAAGTTGATTAGCTATGCCATAAATGTTTTAAACTGTAACAACACAATATAAGATGCTCCCTCCCCGCCTTTCTCCCCCCCCCCCAAAAAAAAACAACAACAACAACTGAGTGTGTTTTAAGAAATGCATTTTTGGTATTATATACAAAATTAGAATTAACATTTCAAACGCCAGTGTGCACCTAAAAATAAAGACTTGCCAAGCACTGTGTACATTTAAATGTATTTACCAGCGACTTGCTACCCATAGTGTCTCAGAAATGGGATGAAACAGACCGAGTTCCTTCAACAATAGGTATATTCCTATGAGTGTTGTTGACAGGAAATCAAAGCATACATATTCTTTTCTCCCAATCCATTAGCCAGTCTGTAAAAGAAGCCAAACACCAAAAGACTAAAGAGGACAAGTGTCCGTTTGCGACAGTCCCGTTTTATAAATGCAGTCCTTTCCAACACAAGAGCCTCTGGTGAAGGGCAGGTCTGCCCACGTATTGGATCTATACCATGCTTCAGACCATTTGTGCGGGAGTTCACATTCCCCTGGTCAGGGTGACCTCATAAGACTGGAGCACAGGCCCAGCCGGCCTGGCTCAGGTGAACGCAGGGCAGTGGGACCTTCCAGCAGAGTTGTTTTTCTCCCTCAGCCAGATAACAATCATAAGTAAAGCCCAGCAGAAGGAAGACTGCCCAATGGGATTGGCAGGAAGTCCTTCTAACAGTCCCCTCTCTCATCAAGAAGGGGTTACCTTTGGTAGAGAATTCTACATAAGGCACCCTAGATTCTACATCCTGAAATTGTGGGTCCCGGGACACAAACCTGCTCAAAGCCTTGGAGTTATGGGGTTGTCCCTGAAACCTGGGTTTGCAGTAACAGCAGCTTTGCGAAGTTGGATGGATAACATTCCGACCCAGTGGAATGTCTGTCGCCTGAGAGGAGTGCTGGGACTCCAAGACTCTCATGCATCTCCCACCCCCACAGCCACCACCTCCCAAATTCCAGCTCCTACATTCATTTCCTGGGCAATTTTTCTCTGGTGAGGAAAACAATGGACCCTTTCAATGTCTCTTATCCACAGAGGGCTCTGAGATGAAGAAACCATCCTTTCAATAGCATCCTTTCCGACCTGGTAATAAAGGATTAAGGATGAGGTTGGGGACGGGAAGGATTGGGGCAGCGAGGAAGAAGGGGTGACAGGCGGACTCACCTCCTTCAGCTGCTCCAGCTCCTGCTTGAGGCTGTCGTACTCGGCCTCCAGCTCGTCATACTGCTGCTTGAGGGTCAGCTTCTCCTCCAGCACCACCAGCCCGTACTCGGCAGCCTGGATCTTCTCGTGGGTCGTCTCCGTGAGCTCCTTGGTCAGCCGCTCTATCTCCGCCTTGTAATGGTCCACCGTCTGCAGCACCTCTTCCGCGGCCATAGCCCCGGCGCGGAGGCGGGAGGGGGGCACCGGGCGGGGGAGACGGATGCCGAGCAGGCGGGGGAGAGGGAGACGGAATGGAGAGGGGAAGGGGGATACAAATGGAAAAGGAAAGTGTGGCTGGGTGAAGGAGCAGAGAGCAACGTCCCGCCTGCTCCTCCGGCGGCAGCAGCAGCTACACCGCCCGAGACACTGACGCGGGACGCAGCATGGAGAGCGCAGGGCGCGGCGGCCGCGGTGTCCTCCCGGCCGGCGCCCGGCGCGCTCAGCGGCCCAGCGGCATGGCCCCCGGCGGCTCGGGGTGCGACTGCTGCTGCTTCAGAGGCGCCGGGCCGCCATGTCTCCGGGCAGCGTCACTGCGGTCCCCGCGGAGCCCGCGCTCCGGTCTGTGCGCGCCGCCCGCTCCACCTGCTCCTCTGGCCGCGCCGCAGCCGCAGCCGGTGCGGAGTGATGCAGCCCGGCCCCCGCCCTCCCTCCTCCCTCTTTCCGCTCCTCCCTCCTCCCTCCTCCCTCCCTCCGCCAGGCCCGGCGCCGAGCGGGCAGGAGGAGGAGGAGGGAAGGACCCCACGTCCTGAGGCGCGTCCTGCTGGGGCGCGCGAGGCCGCGGCTGCCGCCCGCTGCACCGCCGCCGCTGCACACTGCACCCGCCACCCACTGCACCACTGCACCCACTGCACCCGCCACCCGCTGCACCCGCTGCACCGCCGCCCGCTGCACCTCCGCCCGCTGCACCCACTGCACCCACTGCACCCGCCACCCACTGCACCCGCTGCACCGCCGCTGCTGCACACTGCACCCACTGCACCCACTGCACCTGCCACCCACTGCACCCGCTGCACCGCCGCCCGCTGCACCCACTGCACCCGCCACCCACCGCACCCGCCACCCACTGCACCCACTGCACCCGCCACCCACTGCACCCGCTGCACCGCCGCCCACTGCACCCGCCACCCACTGCACCCGCGGCACCGCCGCCCGCTGCACCTCCGCCCGCTGCACCCACTGCATCCACTTCACCCGCCACCCGCTGTACCGCCGCCGGCTGCACGCACTGCAACGCCGCCCACTGCACCGCCACCCACTCCCTAGGGGGTGGGAGTGGGCGAGGGAGGCAGAGGGTTGGGGGTGCAGGACGCAGGCGGAGGAGGCAGCAAGGGACAGCTGCTGGACGCTTGGGGAAGGAGACTCCGCCCCGCCCGCCCAGCCGGCCCTCCAGGGCCAAGCCCCCTACAGTGTTGTGGGCGCCCCCGCTCGGTCCCTGACACCAGAGCCCCAGCTCTGCAAACTGCCTGGGCTCAGCGTCTTCCCCAAAGAAAAGCAAACAGTAACTGACGCACTCCGGGCTCTCGCATTGTCCTGGCCTGGGCTCCCGGGTTCTTCCTCAGCCTCCGGGAGCCGAACGCTGTGCTGCCCACGCCTATCGAACTGCTTTCTCCCCGCTTCCGTCACCTCACACTCAACAAGGTAATCTTCACCCGAGGAAAGTCTTTGCAAAAGATGTTTGCCCTTGTCCAAGCTTTCCGTGCCCAGCTTATCACAAGATCACTATCACAAAGAAGAAAAGACAAAATCTCTATGGTGCTTGCACCCAGGAAGCCTCTAAGTGCCATTATTTCTTGCCCCAGTAGTTCTCTGGATTCTTCAATAAAGGAAAGTTGCATGAAGTTCCCTAAGTACAACAATCCCCTACAATAAACATTTTCAAATAACACGAGCTAATAGTTATTGAGACCATGTGCCAAGCATTCTTCTGAGTATGGCACATGAATTCTCTCCCATCCCAAAGCAACTCTTTGAGGTAGGAACCATTATCCCTCCTCCAATTTATAGGTGGTGAAAGGAAAAGTTAAATGATTTCCCAAAGTCAGGCAACTCTTCAGTGATGAAGCCACAAATTGAATCATAATTCCAAAGCCCTCACTCGATCATTATGTATAAAATATATTAAAAGAAGAAGAAGAAGAAGAAGAAGAAGAAGAAGAAGAAGAAGAAGAAGAAGAAGAAGAAGAAGAAGAGTTGAGGATGGAGGACAACCAACAGGATAGAAGGGATAGAAGTGGGGGGGAGCTATTTCTTTATATATATGTAATTGATTTTACATAGAGAGGAATTGAGAGGGATAGAGAGATAGAAACATCGATTTGAAACATCGACCAGCTGCCTCTTGCACACCCCCTACTGGGGATGTGCCCGCAACCAGTGTACATGCCCTTGACGGGGAATCGAACCTGGGACCTTTCAGTCCGCAGGCTGACGCTCTATCCACTGAGCCAAACCGGTTTTGGCGGAAAAAGCTATTTCTGTGTAACTAAGAGGGTGTGGGATCAATAGACCAGCTTTTTCTCAGTGGCCAGTTGTTCATCACACACACACACACACACACACACACACACACACACACACACGAGCTAGAAAGCAGGAATCAACTCTCCCATCATTGTGTACATGACTTAAAAAAAAAAAAAAAAGGACAGTTGCTGATGCTGTGGAAAGAGTAGCAGATTACAAAACCTTGACTAAGAGGCTCTCTGGGTGTGATTTCAGTGCCTCTGAAACAACCAAGAAAACTTCCTTCCAGATGCTGACAATTGCAACTTAATATTCTCTGATAAGTGAACGGGGGGGGGGGGGGGGGGGGGGGGGGGGGAGCGCGAGAAAATACTTAAAACTTGCAACCACCATGAATTCAACCTGGCAGAGAAGCAGAGATGATAAATGCCCAGCATGTCACCTATATCATTCCTAGCTCTGTTTTATCTCCCACCAGTTTTTTATTACTTCCATGTAATTCTTGAAATTGTCTTGTTTTATATTGCTCTGCCTGCTGCCTTAACTCTTTTTCAGAACTATGCAGTTCAGGGCCTGGCTGTTGGAGTTGGAGCCACTTCCTGCCTGTGTGCCCTTGGACAAGTAAGTTGCTTAGCTTCTATCTTTCTGTTCCTCTCCCTTATTCTCTGTGGAAAAAAAAAATCAATAAAATATATTCTTAAAAATAAATAAATAAATAAATAAATAAATAAATAAATAACAAACATTAAATAAAAGGTTAGGGACTCTATTTTTTTCTGCTTTCTGTCTGCTGAGAGAGGAGAAGACAGGGTAATGGAGGGAAGTACTGGTCACAGGCCATGGAAAATGGGCAACCTGGAACCCATCCGTGGATGGTGGGGTTAGTGTGTGGGCCATGCAGCATGAATTGCCTGGATGTGTGACTCTAAATGCAAAACATAATGCACACAGTTGACATCTCCATAATTTAACTTTCTCCTCTGATTCTTTTAAATTATGAACAGTTCAGAAAAAGAGTTAAACATTCAGGTTCGCTCTTTAGGTCGAAATAAAATTCCTTGGACTACAAAACAACTCTGTTGCAAAGACTGTGGAAGAGTAATTGTTTTTGTAACCATAGAAACCCAGCTAATGCCATGGCTACATAACCAACTTGCATAAATAATTTTTAGTAAACCAAGTCAAACAAATCACTATGCCTCCTAAAATCACTTCATTTTAGAAGTGCTTTCTCTGGTTGACAGTGGAGGAAAAGTTAGATGATTTGGCACTGTGTTGCATACCCAGCTAAACTTCTTAGCTTTTTTGGCATTTTCTTTTTTTCTGCTGTTTTTTAAAGTGTTTTTTAGCCGAAACCGGTTTGGCTCAGTGGATAGAGCATCAGCCTGCAGACTGAAAGGTCCCGGGTTCGATTCCAGTCAAGGGCATGTACATTGGTAGCGGGCACACCCCCAGTAGGGGGTGTGCAAGAGGCAGCTGGTCGATGTTTCTCTCTCATCCATGTTTCTAGCTCTCTATCTCCCTTCCTCTCTGTAAAAAAAATCAATAAAATATATTTTAAAAAAAGAAAGTGTTTTTTACTCCTTGCCCAATGATATGTTTCCATTTATTTTAGAGAGAAGAAGGGAAAGAGGGAGCGAGAGCCTCCCTTATAACTGGGGATTGAACCTGCAACCTTGGAATGTGCCCTGACCAGGAATCAAGTTCACAAAGGGATGATGCTCCAACTGACTGAGCCACCTGGTCAGGGCTTGAAATTTTTTTAGTAAGTACCAAGCACAAGTCATAATAATTCTCTACTCTGTCCTCTGATTTCTCCTACTGAAGTTCCTGGATATACCAGCCTATTTTCATGATGATACTTGAGAGACTAAAAGATGCTATGCCCTGCCCCTGGCCACATGCTAGACAGAGTTACACAAGCCTCATTGGCAATTTATTTAAACTACACAGTCTTCGGGTGATTCAGAAAAACCCTCTTAAAAGCTCTTGATGTTCAATTTAGTAAACAGATATAAAGATTAATCCCAATCTAATTCGTTATTTTCTTCAACTTTTTAAAAGGATAACATATCTTGAATGCCAATCTATGATAAGCCCTGTTCTAAACATATTTAAAGCATGTAATTGATTTTTAGAAAGAGGAAGGGAAAGAGAGAAAGATACATCGATATGAGAGAAACATCTATTGGCTATCTCCTATACATGCCCCAACCAGGAATTGAACCTGCAATCTTGATATGTATCCTGACCTGGAATTGAACTCTCAACCATTTGGTTCATAGCACAATGCTCCAATCCAGTCACACTGGCCAGGGCACTTCTCTGTTGCAAAGATGTAGAAGAGTAATTATTTTTTGTAACCATAGAAACCCAGTTGATGCCATGGCTACATAACCAATTTGCACAAATAGTTTTTAGTAAAACAAGTCAACCAAAATCACTATGCTCCTAAAATCATTCCATTTTAGAAATTCTTTTTTACATTACATTTTATAATTACATCTTATAATATATCCCTTATAAGAACGCTAGGAAATTGACAGTGATCATAATATAATGACAATAATAATATTCCTATTTTATAGATGAGGACATTAAGGCACAGAGAGGTTATGTACCTTGCCCAAGGCCTCACAACTAGCAAATGATGTTCAACTGTTCATATAAGCTTCTCTCCTAAGCCATGTACTCCTCTCTCACTTCCTACC